TAGTTAGCAGGCATATTTTAACTAACTTTCTTCTTCACTAGCAATCGCTAACGTTATCATATCAGACTCCATTATGGAATGAGCCATGATACTTCGTTTCCTTGATTTCTAAGATACAACTCCTTTAGCTATGGAATACATAGCCACTAGTTGCTTTGGAATCATCTAATAATATGTTCCAATCTGCATCACTGTACCCTTCAAGTACAGCCAGAAATTTCTGATAATGTAAACTGAGATATATGGTCCTTTTAAGGTATCTCATGACTCGCTTAATAGCTTGTCAATGCTCGTAACTCGGTTTACTCGTAAACCTGCACAATAATCCCACTGCATATGCAATGTCGGATCTAGTATAATCAGTGACATACCTAAGATTGCCAATGATGCTCGCATATTTTGTTTGTCTAACACTTTCACCAGTGTTCTTAAACAGTTTCACACTTGGATCATAAGGTGTGCACCCGAGTTTACAGTCGAAGTAATTATACTTCTTTAAGATCTTTTCCACATAGTGTGATTGATCCAAGGAGATGCCTTGTTCTGATCTCGTGATCTTGATACCAAGGATCACACTTGCTTCACCGAGATCTTTCATATCAAAGTTGTTGCACAACAATGATCTCACTTTATTGATGGTCTGAATGTTTGACCCAAATATGAATAGGTCGTCTACATAGAGACATATGATAGTGCAAATGTGATTCTCATATTTGTAATTAACACATTTGTCACTTTCATTCATCTTATACCCATTTGATATCATTAAGTTGTCAAACTTTTCATGTCATTGCTTCCGAGCTTGCTTCAGCTCATACAAAGACTTGTCTAACTTACAGACCTTGTTTTCTGGTCCATGGATCACAAAGCCTTCCGGTTGTTCCATATAGATTTCTTCTTCTAATTCACCATTGAAAAAAGTTGTCTTAACATCCATTTGGTGTACTATTAAACTATAAATAGCAGCTATTGAGATAAGTACCATAATGGATGTCATTCTGGTGACCGGAGAAAAAGTGTCGAAGAAATCTATATTCTCTCTTTGTCTAAAACCCTTGGCTACAAGGCGAGCCTTGTATTTATCAACAGTTCCATCAGGTTTTAGTTTCTTTTTCAAAACTCATTTACAACCGATTGGTTTGCATCCAGGAGGCAAGTCTACTGAGTGACAGATCTTGTTAGATTCTAGAGAATCTATCTCATCATTAGTAGCTTCTTGCCAGATATCTGCATCCAGAGATGACAAGGCTTCTTGAAGATTCATTGGATCTTCCTCTACATTATAGGTCGCATAATTCTTCCCATAGTCTTTAGAAACTCTTACTCTTTTACTTCTTCGAAGTTCTGTTTCTACATCGTCGTTGCTTTTTGTGCTTCTTATCACATGAATGTGACTCGATTGAGTGCCCCCACTATTTCTCGATTTGAAAGAAAATTTTTTTTTCTTCATAGAATTCAACATCATTTGATTCTATGATCACTTTTGCATTTAGGTCATAGAACCTATATGCCTCACTGTTTGCTTCACACCTAATGAACACACATTCATAGGCTCTATTAGCAAGTTTAACTCGCTTCGTATCCTGAATTCTGACATATGCCAGACAAACCCAAGTTCTTAAATAAGACAATTTTGGTTGTCTTTTCTTTAATATCTCATAAGGAGAGATATTACTTTTTAACTTGGGAACTCGATTCAGGACATAGCAAATAGTCAACAAAATTTCCCCCACCAGTGAGAAGCAACACCAAAATTTAATATAATTGCAACAACAAGTTCAATAAGAGTTATATTCTTTCTTTCTGCTTTACCATTCATTTCAAAAGAGTATGGTGCAGTCATTTCATGTACAATTCCATGTATAAAATTCATCAAATAAACTAGAATCATATTCAGTTCTCCTATCACTACGAAGTCTCTTAATCTTCTTACTAAGTTGATTCTCAGTTTCAGTTACATACATCTTAAACATGTGAAGTGTTTCATTTTTATTCTTCATTAAATATACATAAGTATAATCAGAATAATAGTCAATAAAATAACATTTACTATTTCTAGTTAAAGTTCCATGTAATTCACATATACCATAGTGTATAAGGTCTAGGGGATCAGATCCTTTAATAATTGATTTTTAAATTCTTTACAAAGTTTTTAAACATATCAATTTCATTCACAAAAATGTCATTCTTTGTAATGGTGTACAAATCTACCCCAATGGACTGACTAAACTATGCCTTATATAAAAGAAAACCAGAAACAAAATTCTTCCTAATCTCAAGAACATGTATGACGTCCTTCGAGATTAAAGTCTTTCTGGAGGTGAAATTCAACTCCATTTCTCCAATTCTAGCAACATTAGTGGTGTGGACATATCCCAACAACACTTTCTTATCTTTAGTATTCGTGTATGTTTTAAACATAACACGATCATAACAGACACGATGAGAAACACCAGTGTCTATCCACCAATCATCAAATTCATCAACCGTGTTGATTTCAATTATCATAGAAATAAATTTCCCATTAGTCAGTTTGACCTATGCATTAGGGGTAGCACCAGGTTCAAGCTTCTTCTACATTTCTTAATCTTATGACATGATTTTCCATGGTTAAAACAATGGAAAACAACATCATTTCTTTGAGGTGGTGATTGTTGCCTAGTTGGAGCAATTGAGACCATAGAAAGGATCTCATTCTTAATTCGGATCACAACATTGCAGTTCTGATTCTTTAATCATTTTCCAAATGGCTTCAGAACTACACCGAATTTTTATTTGTTGTTTAAAACAACCAAGACTTTTCTTCTTGATATTGTCTCTAAGATTCCTCCTTTTTTAACTCAAGGAGAATAATCAGATTAAAAAATACATCTAAATACATACCTTTAGTGATGACCTCATGAGAATTCTTTTTGAAGTTCATAACTTTGAGTATCCACAGATCTTTCATCTACCATATGATACTTTTCGTAGTTGCTAAAATCATTCTTTTGTTCTCCAGCTTCTTCAATACTTGTTTTTCATAGCCTCGTAAACTTGTTTTGGAGTATCGCAATTATTGTAATAATCATATAGATCATTTGCGAGTCCATTTAGAATGTTATAATCATTCTCTTTCTATAAGGAGATTTCTTCCTTTGGCTGTAAATCCTTCTCTTTAATCTATGTTGTAAATTCAAATTCATTGAAATTAATAATTCAATCTAAGTTCATAGATTTCTTTCTATTCGTTTGTTCAACTGATCCAAGTGGAACAGTAGGAATGTCATCGGTCAAAATATTGACAAACTTCTTTATGGTTTGGAAAAACCTCACTTTTGTTGCCAACTTTTGAAATGCACTCCTTCAAACTAGAACGGTTTGTCCGAGACAATCTTAGAAGTACCGATAATTTCTTCAATAGCCATGGCAGTTTGAAACGTCTTAAAATTGTTGGTTCATGATTTTAAAAATGTTGCCACTGAAGAAATTACCGGATTGAGTCGCGGATCAGTTCGCTCTCTTTAAGACGTTTCGCGGTACTGCCCAAAATTATGCAAAGCAGTCAAACTACCACGCCGCCTCCAGGATAAAACAGCCCAGTTCTATACTGTACGATTACTACTTGCACGATAGATAATCGGTCTAGAAATACACCCTCTAATGGTACTAAGACCATTCAAATATGGTATAAATACCACTGTAGTATCTGATATATTTACCAGTCATAAATATTTCTCAAACCAAGAGAAATTTCAATAATTCTTCAAAGAGAATTCAATAATGATCATTTTTTATCACTCAAAGTTTCTCAAACAAAGAGAAATTCGAATAATTCTCTAAAGAGAATAAAAAAATTATACTTGAAAATTTCTCAACTCAAACGAGGAGAAATTAACATTATTCTCTATAAAGAGAATTCAAGAAAATACTCGGAAAATTCAACGAGTAGAAAGAAAGGGGAAGAAGTTGGCGCTTCGACAATTCGAAAGACGCAGAGTTATGAGAGTGAGGAAGGAAAAACTAATAAAATGTTTTTGGTGTGTTTTGTAAGGAAACAAGTGACTTCCTTATATAATAAAGTGAGATGGTTAATATTTCTCACATGAGCAATGTGGGACTAAATGAATTTTTTTTTTTAATTCAATATGGAACATGGACATGTTCCAACATCATCCAATCCTCATTTCTCTCAAGGATGAGGATTATAAAATAACTACAAGTCCATTTCTAGTTCGAAAGTGCATGGGTGTTAGATAACTCTTATGGTGATATGCTGGTGGATAAATGGGATATGAACTCTGATCTGAAGAGCATGGGTGTAGATAACTCTCATGATCAATGATGCAAATAAGGAAGGAAAGTGGGAAGGAATCAATGAACCAAATGAGGGTTATAAAAAAGGTACTTGACTCCTTTTGTAACATGTCTGGCCAGAGGATCAGTTATGAGAAGTCGGGCATCACATTTTCTAGGAACTCAAGTTCAGCTACTAGAAGGGATGTAACTCAAGTGGCAGGTTTAAAGGAGACAAACCAGATAGGTTTGTATCTTGGCATCCTATTTAGAGGAAAGAGTCAGAAGCAAATAGATTATCAGCACATAATAGATAAAGTGAAAAGCAAGCTCACAATGTGGAAGGCTAATCAACTCTCGGTGGCAGGAAAATCAACTCCCTCTAAAGCAGCTATTGAAGCACTACCAACCTACTATATCATGACCACCAAGGTCCCTATTGCAGGATCTTATTCATTCAACGCAGAGGGAGAAAAAATTTCAATTTAAACACTCGAGAGTGGCTATCCTTCAACTTGAAGACAAACACCCATAATTAATAAAAGTATAAAATAAAACTTTTACTAAAAAAACATTCTTATCATCCATGTCATATTGATGTATATAATTTTAAAATATTAAATAAATAAAAACATTAATTGAAAAATATAATTAAAATAATAATTAAATTTGTAGTGTAAATCCAGAAAGAACCGAGTAAGACCAAACTGAGAACGAAACTGAAGATGATGATGAATCGGAAACACAGAGACACACTTCGCTTTATCTCACGCTTCCATCATCACCAACAACAAAACCAATTTTCTCAATTCACCTCAGTAACAGGTTTTCATGAAAATTCCCCACAATTACAGCGCAATGTTGTTCCCGGTGAAAATAAAGGTTTCTCTTTTTTCAACCCGCTGAGGAATTCCTTGAAAAATGAGGAATTGGGTGGTGGAAACACGTTCGGAGTTCATCAGAAATGTTATTATGGTTCAATGGTCGGGGTTGTTCAGAGGAGCAACAGATTTTCGGAGTTGAATGATGATGATGTTAAATACTTTCAAGAGATTTTGGGGAGGAAGAATGTTGTGCAGGATGAAGATAAGCTTAGTGCTGCTAATGTTGATTGGATGCATAAGTATAAAGGTGCTAGTAAGATTCTTCTGCAGCCATGCAACACTGATCAGGTTCTTCTTTTATCTACTTTTTTTTGTTCCTTTCCCTTTCTAGAAATAGCTTATGCATAAGTATTTTTATATGATAAACTCTTACGTGATAGGCTTAATTAAGTGGTTTATCCAAACAGGGTCTAAGTAGTTGAAAAGCAGCTTTCTTATGTATTTCATTTTTCGATTTTCGATACTGCAGGTTTCTGAGATTCTTAAATACTGTAACTCCAGAAACCTGGCTGTTGTTCCTCAAGGAGGAAACACTGGTCTTGTAGGTGGAAGTGTACCTGTCTTTGATGAAGTATATACTCTTTAACTCTTCCTCTTGCAAACGAAACACTCCGCATTACATTAAAGGAGACATGTTATACTGTTTTGGCATATCCAATTGTATATTGACAGATTTCTTATTATCTAATGCTGCTGCAGGTGATTGTTAGTCTTAGTTCAATGAACAAGATCATATCTTTTGACAAGGTACACCATTTACTTCTTCAAAGGCATATTTTCTATGACTTCCCTTCCCTATTTAAGCGTGTTTTTGGATATTGGATTAGAGGTTGTTTCTCTGTAAAATTATATAGGCCGCACTTCACTAGTATCCGTATGCAACTTGTTCGCGTCAATACAGATTGTTGTTGCTGTTGTTGTATGAGCAAACATTTGATTCCACAAGTTACCTTGTAACACCAATTTGTATCAAATCTGTATTTTCTATTTCAATGGAATTTGTTAGCATTATGTAAAAGCCAATATGGATACATGATAACGGAAGATTTTTATAATTAGTTCTGAAGATTTTGCCAATGCCTGTTTTAGGTTAGTGGAATACTGGTATGTGAAGCTGGGTGCATATTGGAAAATCTCATGTCATTCCTGGACAATGAAGGGTAATCTTTTTCGCTTCATACGTATTATTTTTGGTAATTGTCATATATCTGTTTCATAATTTATGTCCCCTCAGGTTTTTGTTCTTTTTTACTTTATTTTAATCTAATTTCAGCTTATAGAAAGAAATAAAGTTTCATAACTTAGATGGCTGTTTTTGCATGCCGAAATTATATTGATAGTGAGAATAATTTTCCTTTTGGTTTTTTTTTTTCTGTCAAAGTTCTATGTGGTGTAAGTGCAGTGGCATAACTTAGGTCTTTGAAACTTATAGATGCTTTTTTTTTTTTTTAATTAAAAAGTTATAGATTATTGATTCTCCTTTCTTTGCCCATTCGAGTTATACTCAAGAACTTGATCTATGCTTTCTGTATTTAAGTCGTGTACACTTTTCATTCAGATTTATTATGCCCCTAGACTTAGGTGCTAAAGGGAGTTGCCAGATTGGTGGAAATGTTTCAACTAATGCCGGTGGTTTGCGTCTTGTTCGTTATGGATCTCTTCATGGAAGTGTACTTGGTGAGAAAATATTTTTAAGCCGTAAAACTTGACTCTGCAATCACGGGTTGAGTATTACTTGTTATTCCATATAATATGTATTTAATCTTCCAAAGTCATGTACCTAAGTTGGATGGTTGTATTGATTTGCGTCTTTTCAAGTGAGAATTTAAGGTTTCTGGGATTGCTTAATAAACTGCAAACTTAGTGACATCTTTGATCCACTATTTTCTCTTTCTAGTACTAAATTTATTATTCTGAAGCAAACTTTCGATTCTACGGCAGGTGTTGAAGCTGTTCTAGCAAATGGCACTGTACTTGACATGCTTAAGACATTGCGCAAAGATAATACTGGCTATGATTTGAAACATCTATTTATAGGTATGTAGGTAACAATAAGGAAAATCTGGAAACTAACCGATGACGTGACTGTAACTCAACATCAACTTTAAAATGATGTAGGAAGTGAAGGTTCCTTGGGAATTGTAACCAAGGTTTCAATACTTACCCCACCGAAGTTATCTTCGGTTAATGTGGCTCTTCTTGCTTGCAAAGATTATAGCTCCTGCCAGGTACGATCAGTGTTCTCATTTTGAAATTTGTTTTGCTTTGTGAATTTATGAAATTTTAGGCGTAAACCTTATCTGATTACTTTTGTTTCTGTTCTGCTTATCAGAAACTGCTACAGGAAGCAAAGAGGAAACTCGGGGAGATTTTATCTGCATTTGAATTTTTGGACAGCCAGTCTATGGATTTGGTAATCTTTATTGAATTAGATTAGATTTGATTAAGAAACCTTTTTCAATTCAGATCAATTACTCCATTAAAATTCTAGTTCATGCTACTGAGAAAATGATCAGAACTTTGTAACTTTATTTTCTTTTTCCCCTAGTCGGATCATAGTCATGCTGATCTGGTTGGATTTCTAACAGGTCACAAGTCACCTGGACGGTGCTCGGAATCCATTTCCTGATTCGCAACATGACTTTTATGTTTTGATCGAGACAACCGGCAGTGATGAATCTTCGGACAAGTAAAGTCCTTTCCGTTTTATACTGATTGATTTGTTTATTTTAGTAGATTATAAATTATACTTCCCCTATTATGAATTTTCCAGACAAAAGCTTGAAGCATTTCTACTTGGCTCCATGGAAAATGAATTGATAGCTGATGGTGTTCTTGCACAAGACATAAATCAAGCATCTACTTTTTGGAATATACGCGAGGTTGACATTTTTCAGCCTTGATTCTTTTTTACCGAGGAATACTTTATGCTCTTTAAATTTTCTTTTTTCAAGAATTGTTTTCTGTCATCAGTGAATAAAATTTTAAGTTTAATATGAAAATTTTCATTTCTTTTCGCTGAAAAGACTATTAAAGTTCTTGGCTTTTTAAATCTTACTGAATTGTTTCAGGGTATATCAGAGGCATTGATGAAAGCAGGAGCTGTTTACAAGTATGATTTATCAATACCTCTTGAGAATCTGTACACGGTTGTCGAAGAAATGCGCTCGAGACTAGGTAAAAAGCCCTACATATTATTAGTCATATCATAATTCATAATGGTGCATAATAGGACATCAACATTATTACAATTTTGTTTGATCATTGTAGGTGATGCTGCTAATGTAATTGGATATGGTCACCTTGGAGATGGTAATCTGCATTTAAACGTTTCTGTTCCTCAGTACGACGGCAAGGTAGCTTAAACAAACTCGCAAGTTTTGGTTATGAAATTCTTATTTTTCATTTTATATAAGGCTATCACGTCATCGCATTAAAATTTTGCAGATTTTGGCACAAATTGAGCCTTTTGTATATGAATGGACGTCTAAGCACCGTGGGAGTATTAGCGCGGAGCATGGCATGGGACTAATGAAAGCTAACGAAATTTTCTACAGCCAGTCGCGTGAAACGGTTAGTATATTATTGACAACTCTAAGTTGAAGTTAATTCTCCATTTGAGAATTGTAAACTCAGTGAATTGAATATCAAAATTTGTTTCAAATTGGACAGGTGCAAGTGATGAGTTCGATCAAGAGTTTGATGGATCCTAATCACATACTCAACCCCTATAAAGTTCTTCCTCACTCTATCACTTCATAATCTGATGCATAAACAATACTTTAGGAGACATGGGTTTGATGGCAATAATTTACTGATAGAAGGATAAAATAAGAAACTGATAAATTCTTGTTGTAATTTATAAACAATTGTGTACCAAACTTAGTGCCATTCTTTTATAATGTCATTTTGGTCTCAAATTTTCTAAATGGATTCCTTTGAAAGGAAAACTAGGGTGTTAGATTTCCACTTGTCACATGAATATATGCTTGTCTTGAATCATGAATTTGCTATGGGAATAAACAAAATTTAGAAGCTTAAATTAATTCTTTAATGCTCAACTTGGGCAAGCATATTACTCCCTTGGTCAACATAAATGATTCGGTTTGGCAATTCATACATATTTTTAAAAAATAAAGAGAAGAGACTAATTATGTTAAGGGCATTACTTGTTAGTGTGCTCACGCTACCTAGTGAAAAATCAATAATATATCTAAAATATGAAACTTGACCTCCGGGTGCACTAAAATGTAACTAAAGTCAAGTTTCAGACGCATACTACTAATGAAATCATCTGGATGTTAAGTTTCGTCATTTTGGCGCACTAAAATGCAACCAAAGTCAAGTTTCAAACGCATGCTACTAATGAAATTATCTGGATGTTAAGTTTCGTCATTTTTACGGAAGTTAATTATCAAAATCCTTTATGTTACTCTATTCCAAAAACAATTGTAGAAATGAAAAGAACAACATAAATTAACATAAATTTTTGTTAAGATATACATAAAATACATAATATTACATAGATTTTTGTTAACGTAAGTTTAACATTACATTTCATCATTAAGAGATGGTTGATGACATTTCAAAATCTTTAGAATATCGTTGGTCGATCTTGCAATCGGCGCACCCGCTTCGATCGAACCCTTTGTTTTGTAACAGTGAAAGTACTCCATATAGTTGTTAAATCTCCATCTCTTCAACTCAAACTAGTTGAGTTGTATGAACAATAATGGAGCTTCACAACTCTTCGATTATTTGGGTATCAGAAGAGATTCTCTAGTGTGTATTGTAGATCGACAAGACGAGTGATCTATGTGAAAGTAGACAATCGCGAGATAAGAATATTGAGATATTTTGTGGTGTTTTAGTTAACAAAATAAGGAGAATCTTTATTTAAAAATTAAAATAATTCCAACAAAAAACATTATATTATTTATATTAAAATATTACGTGTGAGGATAAGTAATTACAATCTCTAGATAAACTTTGGAATACTTAGCTATAATATCGTATAAGTTTTCCAATTTTCTACGTCCTTGGGATGGGTTACCTAACCAATGTCTTCAGAATGTAGTCTCCAAAGTTCCTCCCTCTAATGTTAGTCAGTCTTAACACGAGGTCGTCATGTTTAAATTCTCGATGTCAGATTTACTTATTGTATGTGGATACTGCTCTCGGCTTGACGATGACACTCATGAGGGTGATGGACGTCTTCTTTTCTTCCAGAAAGCCTACCTCTTCTCAGATTTCTTTGTCGTTATCCTTTTTTGATAGGGGTTCACCGTCCTCCAGTTTAGATCTTTTACTTTGACAGAGATGTCGACTTTAGTCATGTAGGTCAATCGAAAGGGAATCTCGCCAATTGTTGAATGAGGTTAGTTCAGTATGCCTAGAGGATGCATGAAAGCTCATTTTTCCAGTTTCTTTTAACCGCATCGAGTCCTCGTTTTAATCCCCTAAAAAACTACCTGATTCGCTGCTTTGGCTTTTTTGTTTGTTTAGGAGTGCTCTACTGACGTGAAATGATATTTGACCTTCAAGTATTCTAAAAGTTTCATGAAGTTTTTATATGTGAATCGCATTCCATTATCTGTTAGTATGGCCTGAGGAATTCTGTACATGGCTAGGGTGTTCCTCTTGAAAAATTTCGAGATGTTGGCCGCTGTGATCTTTGCAAGTGCTTCTGTTGCAACTCATTTGGTAAAAAATTAAATTGTCTCGACGCTAAAGGAAAATAGCCAAGAATATTCATTCCCCACAATGTGAAAAGCCAAGGTGGTGTCAACATGTGTAGCTCTGACCGGGGCATTGTGAATGTCTCTGTCTTTGGCATCAATCAAATTTCTTTACATTCTCCTTAGCATCCTAAATCATGGACGACCAATACTACCCAGCTTTAAGGACTTTCTTAGCCAAAGCTCGCGCACCTAAATATTGTCCATCTATTCCTTCACGCACTTCGGCGAGAGCGTAGGTGACTTCTTCTCCTTTTAGGCATTTCAATAGATGGGTTGATTGTAACCTTCGGTATAAGGATCATTTTATTAAGGAGCACAATCTGACACTTCTTTTCATAAAGGTGGCGTTAGGTGGATTAGTCGACAATGCTCCTTGATCAATGTATGTTGCAATATGTGATATCTAAAATGGTTGTGTACTTATTGCCATCATCACGACTTTTGAGTTTTCTTTGTTGAGGCTTATCATAGTTTATTGGATGAAAGAATGGTTTATTCGAATGATATGTTGATGACCAACTTAGACAAAACTGTTAGCCTAAGTGTTCTCCTTTCTCTTGGGAAGTGCAATATTTTTAACGTCTTGAACTTTGCCAACTCCTCCTTGGCCAAAATGACATTGCGGTAGTAACAAATTATTTGTATGAGCTTCCTCTTTGACTTGTGAGACTACTAGCTGAGAGTTCGTTCTTAATCTAACATTCCCTGTCCCCATTTCGGAGACCAATATGAGGCCAACAATAACCGCTTCATAGTCGACTTGATTATTAGTGTTAGATAACTCAAAACGCACATATACTTTGATCATCAGATCGACTTCATTCTTCATCATTAGTCAAACTCCACTTTTTCAACTGTTAGATGATTCATCTATAAATACTACCCAAACATAAGATGTCTCTAATGCGTCTAAAGACATTTCTATTATAAAATTTAAGAAATTAGCTCAAAAACAAATATTATTCCTAAAAAAATATATGCGTAAATTAAAAATACGCATGTAATTACAAATATAACAAAAAAATCTTTATTTTTTAATAATAATAATGAGAATTTTGAATTAAAATATAATTATTTATAAGTTATAAATATATATATTTTTGAATAAAAGATGCGTAATCATGACAAAACCTTTCTTTTTTTTTTATAATTATAAAGTTTAGACACAATTTTTTTATTGAATTAGAAATATTGTTAAAAAAAGGATTATTGTTAAAAAAAATCTGCATACAATAAAAAGAGTGATGTGTATACAAATATAATCAAAACAAAATCTTCCTATACCTTTTTTTTGCTATATTTATAAAGGTCTTGGACTAAAAATAACTAATTTTTGAGTTATAAATATACTTTTTTGAATAGAGACCCATGATTAAAAATATAATCACAACAAAATCATGAATAATAAATTTTGTTTCAAAAAAGTGATTGTTCAATATGCCTAACATTAAAAGAGTCGCGTGATTACAAATATAACCGTACTAAATTTTTTAACTTTCAAAAAACAAATTCAGTATTAATGGTTAAAATTAATAAAATATAATTAATAAATAATTAAAAAAATATTTACATTAATATAGAAAAATTAAAATTAATAAGTTTTTTATTTTATTTATAATATAAATTTATTTTCAAATATTAAAGGTTAATCACCATTTTATTATACGCTATATAGGACAAATCCCAAAAATAATATAAAAAAATATATATATTTTATTATTATATGAAAATGCTATATAGATTTTCATTTTTTTTTTTAAATTCTAAACTTTTGAATCGATGACCATTTGTATAATGGTAATAATCCTTACCACTAGATTATTTGATTTCCTTCTCTAATAAATTGCATCAAAATATATATATTATATAAATATTTTATATGAATATTATTTAAGTATATGTGTTTACATAAAATATTTTTGATTAATTTCTATAAGTTAAAATATAAATAAATTAACATTATTTATGATTAGTTTCTATAAACAAATAAATAACGTTGATTAATAATTTATTTACTTGTTTAGTTAATATATCTCAGTTTAATATACTTAATAATATATTTAATTTTAGTATATTATATTTACAATTTATTTATGTTTATTTGTTTTTTAATTAATATAAATTAACAAACTGAAAATAAATAAATTTTAAATATATTAATTAACTGAAAATTAACAGTTTATTAAACATAAATTTATTCAAATATTTAATATTTACTTTATTTATTTTCAATGTATTTATTTTATTAAAGATATTTTATTTACTTTCAATTTATTATATAATAAATTTATTTAAATATTTATAATGAACATTATTATAATTGAAAGTATATTAAATATATTAAATATAATTTTGTGTATATTAAACTTAATAAACTAGAATGTTTAAAAAATAAATTTACTAACTAATTATAATGAAAACTGAAATATATTAAATATAAAATAAAAAGTATATGTTATAAATAAAAGTGGAGAAGAGATATATTATAAAAACCAAAATGATTGAATAGAAGAGAATTTGGTTGGCATGATGCGTTATATTACAGATGATTATATCCAACTAAAGACTAGAATAAAAATGTGTTTTTTTTTTACTAAAATAATTTAAGAGAAAAAAGCAGTACGTGTAATATTTGTTTAAACTCATAATTTAATCCATACTAAAATAAAATATATGTAATCATCTTTAAAATAAATTAAATATAATTTTGTAAAGCACAAATAACTCTACAAACAAAAATAAAAAATTTTGTAAGGAAAAAAACCCGTCAAAAAATAATATTTTGTTAAGATTTATTCCATGGTACGTAGACGTGTGATTAAATATTTGGGAAAAGAAAAACAGTGAAAGCGTGGGGTAGTGGGTAGTATAAAGTTTAGAAACCGTCGTCCACGCTCACGGGTGGGTGCTTATTCATATTCATTCTCTCTCATTCAGATCATCATCTCTTTACGCGTAATAATCATGACTAGTTCTTCAGCTGCTTCTCGCAAGGTAAGCCCTAACTTTCCTCTTTTTCTA